TATAAAATTAATTATTATTTGTATTATTCATGTTTTTATTACTAATTTAAAAATTAAATTATGTAATTTTTTAGAAAATACATTTCCATAAATATATATTTCTATAATATAATTTTTTTTTAGCATGTTAAAAATAAAACATTATTAAATACGAAGAGAATATAATGAAAAATTGTACGAAGTTTAAACTAATATATAGTAATCATAGAAATATGAAATTATTATTAATATAAATAGTTCATTGTTTTATTATTGTTTTACGAATTGATATATTTTGTTATTTACTCACGACGGATATGAAATGAATAATGTATAATATGATAAATACATATGTTTCATTGAATAAGTATTATATAGACAATGATAAGAAATGTTATATTATATAACATGTATTTTATTATGATTAGAGAAAATAATTTTAGTATATATACTATGGGTATGTATTTTCGAATTAAAAATATGACTCCTTTTTTAAGTTTTCTTTGTTCTATAAAAAATATATTTATAAAAAAAAAGAAAATATTTAGTTAAACAAAAATATAATAGAAATAAAATAATGTGCTTATTCCAATGATTTTATATATATAGGAAACAAAAATTATTTTTTATACACTTAACTAAAATTTTTAATTATTCTATAATGCAATATATTAGACATATTAAAATAAATGATTATCTTTTGTGCAGTATTATATATCATGTTAAAAAATTATTTAATATTTTAATGAATATAAGAATTTCTATCAAAAGCATCTGTATTCTTTAATCATATGTACATTAAAAGAAAAATAATTATTCCATAGATTAAAATAAAAATGAAATATAATTCAAATATAAAAGTTGAAATAAATTGTTCTTTTTACGATAATATCCATATATATCCCATATTTATGATATACTAAAAGATATATAACAATGATAAAATATAGTATATATCAAGCATGTATATATGAGTTAAAGTATGTGTACAGATTGTTTAACATTATATATATTCTAAAATATATGGATAATAAAATGCATAATCCTATTATTGTAATGAGCATAAATATATATTATACATAGATATGTTTGTTTAAATGAATAATAAAAGGTGACAAGATTATTACTTAAACAAAATACTAATTACAATATTTTATATAGTGTAATTCTCAAAAATATATTGTAATTAATAGTTTACTAAAAATATTGTATTTATATATTCCTATAACAATTGATTATTTATTATTCTTTATCTCTAGTATTACAGGGTACCAAATTTAAAAAATAATTAATTTTATTTCAATAGAGTAACAGATGAAAAATTAATTTTAAGTTTTATTTGAGTTTTATCATTTTTTATTTATTTAAAATAAAATCCTCATTATTTTCACCATTTAAATATTTTTTTTTTAAATATATATAATACTCTTATTCTATTATGATTTTATCAAAATATATTAATATATATTTTTCCAGAATAATTATTTTTCATTTATTAATATTATATATATTATTTACAAAAACACAATAGGATTGTTATTATACGCAATGTATAATTATTTTATTTATACATGGATAATATTCAGATTGAACATTATATATATAAATTATGTTTATTTTCAATAATAACTAAATATGATACAAGAAAATTTCATTTTATCATTATTATTTATATAGTATTGAAAGTCACCTGAAAAATATTTAATTTATTATCTCTTTTGCCTTTTTAATTTTTATAATATTTCATTTAAAATATTAGAATTATCTGATATTAAAAATTATTTAGCATATATAAATATTATACATTCTATATATTTTTTTTTTATCCAATAAAAATTATTGGGATAAAAATTGATATTATTATAGGTTTATATCCTATAATAGATTATATTTAACAAATTTATATATTTTATATCTTATATCAAATATGTACGGCATGTTAGCAATGTATAAAAATAATAAATATTCTACACATTAAACATTAACGTTATTGTTTTGTACATACTTTGTTTTTAATATGATAATGTTTTTTTAATGTACAACAATTGATTTATGTACCTAAATATTACAAATAAGTTTAAAAAATTTTATTATGTACACATAATTTATATGCATAAAAGTAAATAAAAATAATTAATTATAATTCTTTTTATACTATGATGAACGGTATATAACATATATTAAATAAAAGAAAACACCTTTTAATCTTATTTTATGTTACGTATTTTATTGTTTAATATATATATCTAACTTATATAATAATATTATAATTCATGAATATTAGATTTGTGCGAATGCGATATATTTAATTTTACATAATGCACCTGTGCACATTTTACTACAAAATGTGAATATAAAATATGAATTTATTTATACTTCTGATTATACAGAAGGAGAAATATGAACTCTGTAGGTAATTAAAAACTAATTATGCTTTACGCGATTTTACATGCAAAGTAAATATACTAAACAAAATAATACACAAGCAAAAATTCATAAAAATTATTTAATGATTTGTTTTTTCTATTTTTAATCATAACTATACATTTAATCGTGTCTTACCTATTTTAAATGTACATTTTTCATATTTATTGAAAATATAAGTTATACGAATAGTCTTATCTCAATATAGGATTTTGGTATAAAAAATATTTACAAAAATATATATATTATCTTATGTATATACCATGTTATACTCGATAAAACAAAAAGTTTAATTTTTTTTATTATCATATGATTAAAAAATAAGTGAATGCATATTAATAATATGTAATGGTAATTTATACATATTCATAATAAAACTTTGAAGTTAATAATATATTGAGGGACACTAAAAATATATTCATAAATAACTATCATTATAAATATTATTATAAAATGAGTTAAAATAATTTTAAATATATAATTATACATTTTAATATTTCAAAATAATTATTTATACATAAAAAAAACTATGTAGTTTTAATATTTGTTGTCACATAATACTTTTGAATTTAGGGATATCTACATACACTTTATAAAGCATATTAATATAATAACATTTTGAGTGAATCATTTTAGAAAATAATTAAAAATGTTTTTTTGCTAGATAAAATATAAAAATAATATTTCTATAATACATACCTATAAAATTAATATGGAAAACAATAGTAAACATTTGCATTATTCCATTATAATCATTTTTCTAACATCAAATTATAAATGTCTCACTAAAAAAATTATTCCATTAAAAAAGAGAAAATATAGATTTTTATGAAATTGCTATAGATTGTTTTTTTCAAATATATCATTTACACTTTATATTTATGTTCATGTCGCACTATATTGATATGTATATTCTATTTAAACATTATATACATAATAACATAGATATTAATATTTTAATTAATAAAATCATTCAGTATAAGATCTACATATTTTTATAATGTTTAAAATATTTATTTATATATATTATGTTTAAATTCGTCCCTTTCTGATATATTATCATATTTAATTCTTGTATAATGTATATATATAAACGTTTATTTCAATGAACATAATATTTATGCATACTAATATATTTCAATGTTTTATTGATATACTAGAAAATAAAAACATAATACAGTACATATAATTTCAGATTTTATGGTTTTGTTAATATGCACATTGTTTTGCAAATATTTATAATAGAATATCACAATCCTTACTTCTTAAAAAACAAAGAAAAAGTTATTAGAAGTTTATATATTTAATCTCTCTATATATTGTTATTATTTAATGAATTATATATATCAAGTGGCACTTTATAATTTATAACGCTATTCCAAAATATATAGAAAAAAAGGAAAATCAAGAATAAATATGTATACGTACTTAAAAAATATAAGAAAGATTTTATATCTTTAATAAGAGCAATAATTCTGAATTATTTTAATAGATTATGTATATATAATTGTTTTATCGTATAATTATAATTTTATAAAAATATGTATATGTTCCTATGAAACACTAATTAAAATACATTAATTCTGCTCACTCAGATAATAAAAATCACACATATGTTACAATCATATTGTTATCTATAATATCTTTTAGAAAAAAAATGTATTATTATTGTTTTGTTTTTTATTAACGAGTGACACTGATAAAACATTGTGTATTATGAATTGGTAATTTAATTATATTAAAAAACTAAAACAAAATTAATAAGGAAAAAATAATTAAGAATGGAAACATAAAGATAATTCTAGTATTCATATTGCGTTAAATATTTTATACTATTAAAAATTATGAATACATTAGACAAAAAATTATGCATTTATTATATACCACTGTAATCATTATAATATTCTATATCTATAAATGAACAGAAATTATACCTATTTATGAATTTATAAAAAATATATTCTACCGTAGTAAACTTAAAAAAATTATAATAAATGAAATTTGTTCTTATATAATGGGATTAATTTATATGTTCTTGTTCATTATATATATGCATTTCGAAGATGTCTTTTTTTTGCTTTTGAAAATAAGTTATTCTTTGAAAGTATATTTTATTAATTTTATCCATGTTGTGGAAATAACAATAAAAGAATAAGAATATGAATAAATTAAAAATTATATCATTTGTACATAATAAGATATAAAAATATAGAATTAATATTGTTTTTGACAATTTTATT